CTGACGTGTGACACCGCTATGACAGCTTGTCAAATTTTAATACAGTATCATGGAAAACGACGTAAGACTGTAGGCAAAATTTTCCATATTATATATAATATTATATTATAAACCAGTAAAATTTCTAACTTTGTTTGCTTATAAGGAGTAATCTTCGAAAATATGAATCCAATAATAAAATGGTTAAAAGAATTTTTGTATTAGTTTATACAAAGTAAAAAAAATATATAAATCTGAAGGATATATTGTCGCAATAATTATTTTCAATTCTAATAAGTGTCTTGTATTATATACAAAATACTGAGAAAATTTTTCTAGACAGATTCTGATGATCTCAAGCTTATCAATTCATAACATCCACATCACTCGATTTATTTTACATTATCTCACACAACCACAAGTAGATAATAATATGCATTGTGTCAAAGAGCCCTTTCTGACTCCCCTAAGATAAGGATGGATCCAATTTGGTACCGGACTATGAATAATTTAATACGAATTAATTAATACAACACTCTCCGAATCTGTTTCGGGAAGTGCGGATTAAAATATTTTACTTGATAATAAAGTTATATTACTTACTGTGAAGTATAGAATCCCTTAATTTCCAAAAACCATGCGGTAATATGAAACGTGAAATTAAAAAAAAAATATACATTTACAGCTAATGGTGACAGTTTAAAACTTCGACTGGACGGAGTGCTATGAAAACAATGGGCGGGTGTTGAATGCATTGTGTCAATAAAATCCGTCACCATGGTGCTCGTGCTGTAGACAATGAATGATGGATGGCCATGCAAAAAAAATACATTTTTGGTTGGAACAAGCCGTGCGAAATTTCTTCGCGATAAAACAACAACCAATAAATTCGTAAAGGGCGTAAACAAATGCAAATTATTTAGATTAATCTAAAAGTGTTGCATAGAGGTATTGCTCTCGGCTATGAAATATGATATAAAAATTTTATAATATATTCTATATTACGAGCAATTTAAATTTTAAAAGTAAATTCGTGGTTTTTTGGATCAATAATTTTATCAATTTACGTGTTCTATCTGACAAAACCCTGTAGTTTTTAATTTAGTTTATTAGGATATTATTTTTAATACGTACTAAGCCAAGGTAATTTTAGGTGTACCTTTTATGTATGTATTTATACTTCTTCTTGCTATTAATACCTTTAGAAGTCAGATCATATAATGTTTATTTAGGACTTTCTGTTGTATGTCGTAAGTTAGCGGAAAAGTTTTACAGGCACGCGTATCTTAACAATCTAATAATTTCACTTTTGAAGAAGCCATTTAAATTTCATTGCACCCTCGTAACTTTGTACTTTTTCGTATAAAACGAAAAACATAATAGAAGTAACAAACAAATGAGTTTCAAATGCAAAAGTGACTTGAAAGAAAATAAAACGTTTGTTTAAATGGCTTGCGGCTTTGATTAATTTTGTGTAATATTTAGAAAATATTTTATTTTTGATTCCTTTTCGCCAGTAAAGTTAAGGACTCGAATTAAAAAAAGGGTAAAATAATGAAGTAGATTTATGTGGGGCAAGAGAAAGAGTAAGAGAGAGAGAGATTGGGTAATAGAAAACCACAAAAGAAACGAAGATGGCGACATAATGGCGCACACGTGGCTGGCACTTCCGCGTTACTAATATTTTAAGAAATTACTTAGCTGCTGGGCACACTTCGCCTGTATGAAAACAGTTACTAATAAATATAATAATTAGACAACTGGAGTTAAGGAGCTAAAGCAGGTAAAGCCAGTTTTAATTTCCCTTTGGTTCGCGATTAGTTGACTAGATTTGCATGATAATTTGTAAAGTGCGATAGTTGTACCATGATGTTGTGTGAACGTCAAATGTGGCTCAATTATTTATTTAATCTTAATTGTCTGGAAAAAAAAATACAAAAGACGGACTTAATGCCAAAGAGGAATTCCCTCCTAGTCAACCAGTAAATTTAGTGCAGAACTTTAAATGCGGCGATAAACATAACGTAGGTTAATTACGCTCATTGAATGGGTTTAGGAGTGCTAGCCCCTCAAACATGTAGAAAAGTATATGATTTAATAAATAATAAATTTGTGATATTTTTAGAAGATCTCTTATAGAGATAAGCCCACCCTTGGTTTTAGTTCACCTACTTATTTTTATGTTACTTTCTTTGTGCAATAAAGAGTATTTGAACTTCCCTTGGGCACCAGCAATTTTATATTAGAACAACAAATTCGTTACACCGTTAGTCGTCTATATTAAATGTACATTATATTTTATATTAGTATATGTAGTTATAAAAGTATATATCTATTGTTTATATATTTTGTTATAGGTTTTATTTCCCTTATTTGTTTCTCCACATCACCCATCCGGTTGAGGGGTAGAAAATGCCTAAGCCATTAAGTCCTTCAATGTACTCTGTACATGAAGTGTTAAATATTTTTTTTCTGTTTTCATATATAACTCCAAACCCTTCAAACTTAATTTCATAAAATGCTTTTATAAGTGACGCTAATCCACGAGACTAATTGATCTGAGTAACATTTATTCTTTTTGAAAATCACTTAAAGGATACTTGCTTTCCGCTACCGGCTTGAGACGCGTGATCCTGTATTACACAAATAAATCTTCTTTTTGTTTTACTCTATAAGTATATTAATGAAAATCTCATTAAAATTCGTTATGTAGTTTCAAAAATACAGCGTACAGACGGCGGAAAAGTAACTTTTATACTATGTATAGATATCGATAGGTATTTGGAGTCAATAAAATTATTGAATTGCGAAATATCGAAAAGAAAAGTTTTGATTTATTAGGCTTACAGCCATGGATATAGTCTGTTTCTTTGTAAATTGGACTATTTTTACAGTACAGGTGATTGATTAATGCAGATAACTTCTAAGACGAGCGTTGAGATTGAATATTATTATAATAATTGCACCTATTAATGGTTAGCGAGAAACTTACTAATAATAGCAATTTATGCTCTATTGCATGCATTACGTTATCCTTTATATTACTCAGTCTCATTGTTTTTTTATGTCGATTTGGTCTCGCTTTTATTAAAACAGAAATCGTAAAGCGGAAAAGACAAACATTGATCAACGTGAATACTATGTACCGCAGTAAATATGCATGCACCGGTTGACGAGACAGTTAATAACCTACGGTCCCTCATGTTTGATTTGCAATTTATTACAAAAGCAATAAATCAAACGCGGAAGCGCACGAGTCCGGCCGTCCGAGATCAAAGCCACAGCCGTGCGAGTAATTAAATAGTTTGACTATATCCCGTTGCATAGATGTCGCCCAATGTTGCCCAAGGCCTGATTTCACAAACTAATAGTGCAGCTATAATATTACAGCTGTAGCCCGCGGATCATAAGCGGCCGCAGGCTGTATCAACATGATACGCGACTTTGATTGTTTGTAATTTTAAGAGAAAGCGAGAGAGTGTTAATTACTTATTAATTCTGATAATGATTTAGTGTGTTTAAGGCCCCTTGAAAATTTAAGTTTGTCACCCCTGCTACAGTATTTTAAATATATTTTAAGGAATCCTCTACACGCGAGTTCGGCACTAGACCGATTGTTTGGATTCAAAGGAAAAATGAAACGCAAAGAAAATAAATGAATTTTCTACATTTTTAACAAACAACTCTTTTGATGAGTTAAATAGAAAAAAGAAACAAAAATGTTGTGTAAGCATTCTATATAAAGAAAATCCGAGAAATTAATTATCTAACAAATACAAAAAAAATATATTATTCATAAATTCAGATGTATCGAAATTTTTAATTTCTCTCACATCTTATATTGCAAAAAAAGTTACAAAATACCCCTAAAACATTTCCTAGACGCGACCATTATCTTAAAGCACCTCATTTGTCGTTCATCATCCCTCAGGAATGTCCGGGGGGATTAATTCGCCGCCTTACATTGTTTTAAATCAAAAACTCCACGTTCCCACCCGTTTTCCGGGAACCAAACCAAGATTGGAAAAAAGATTAACTGCTGATGCCTTGGGACTATATAATATTGGTTTTGTAATACTGAAACGCGATTTTCTTTATGTGAAATTTAAATTATATTCGAATATACACACGGTTCCTGAATTGAGTATTAAATTTTAAGCACGTCTCAAACTATACTTAAAGATCAATAAAACAGATTAATTGTTTCTGAATGCAGTTTAATAATTATAGCAGCTGATAGCAATTGGATAAAAATCGAGGACTTTTTAAAAGATGCATTGTAAAACATAAAAAAACTTAAGATATGGAGAATAATCAGTTGATATTTTAAACTTTTCTCAATTCAGAATCGGGCCATAAGAGACTTTAAAATTTTTTTGTTATTGTAACTCATTGAAAGCAATGTCTTATGTGTAATACTAGTAGACAAACTCTGTAGCACTAAAATATTATTCGCTAAGCTGTTGAAAATTACCATACATTTGTTGAATGAGTGAGACAGGAGATCAGTTGGTGTGCCGTAAAAGTTGTCAACCGGCAAATTACTTGTAAAACACCAGCAAATTCGCAAGACTTCATAATTTTTCAGCGATTAGTTTAACCATACTTTTGTTCAAAAGGAATTTTTAAAGTTTTTATGTACCGTTGTATGTCAACGGTCTTTTCTTAATAAACAAATGGATAATTATGGTACGATGCACGTTGTTAAGTGATAATAATAATTAAATAAAACAATAATACACGGATTAACAAAAGTTGTAGGAGAACCGTTGTTATTATCTATCCAGTACTGCTAGGTTAGTTCATATTTTACATGTAGCCCTGCATAAGACTAATGCCACAGATACGGATTGCTTGCGTGCGTATATCATTTCCGTTTATTTTTATATTTATCGCATTTTAACATATAATCTTAGTAAAGTACTTGAATATTTTTCACAGAAAAAAAATACACATTCCCTTTAAATAGCCCAATCAGCATCGCCTTGCTTTAAAAGCATGTGTGTAGGAATGTCACTTACCATCATTGAGTAATGGCAAAATGTCGACATCAGGCCTCCCCGATGGGCACAGAGGTAGTATAGGTGTAGAAGAGGTCGCACCCTCTGTCTCCGCCTGCAAAGACAAAACGAATTGTTATCATCTTACACTAATATCAGATCAATGTGCGCCAAAATAGGGGAAAAGAAACCTATTTTCTTTGCACTTCGCAGGTGAATGAATGGTGACATTAGATATTTGACTATTCGATGCGTACTGATGGTGTGGAAGTTCTTATATGTTCATACAAATAATTCTATAATTTCTTTCTTTTGCCAGGTTCCGTTCGTTCCAATATAATAGATGAGCATTTACCGAAAATCATTTAAACAGTACCTAACTTCTTCTATATACTTATAGATATATTTTTTTCTGGAAGAAATGAGTGGTTTTCGAATTTCAAAACGTACTTTTGAAAGCCGAGAAAATATGCTATCGATTCATAAATCTACGACGAGACCTTCTGAAGAAAATCACTGACAAGAATCTAAGCAAGGGCAGTGTTTATTGAAATGTTGAATTGGAATGACGATTTGTTAAATTATCACGTCCCATTCCATCGGTGTTCATAAGGACCCTAACGACAGTATTAAGGTAAATAGGTATATGAGTATAAACATCTTATATTTAAGGCAATTATGACCGATCTAAGTATGAAGAACTATTTTACAGATATAAAGAATGTGTTAAGAAATTACGTACATCCTTATACACCCCAATTAGAAAATTCATAAAACGAAAATTGTAATTTTACTTTTATGTACTAAAACATTGTTTATGTATGGACACAGTTATACTTATTGCTGGGTCATCTGCAGTGCAGTGGACATCTTGCAAATTCACACAATGACGTCAAAACTACGGCTTAGCCTGCAACTACAAATCTAAGTACCTACAGCGTCATGATAACACCTGCCTTCCAACATGAAATATTATTCCGTTTCGAGATTCAAAATTTTTTTAAGTTTAGACAATAATTATGATTCTTATTTGTTATGAGTTTCTGCTAACATAGTCTTACGATCACATATCACACGGCGAGCACAGTATCACCATATTGTGCTTAACCCTTAAGCATTTCGATGTATTTACTGTACGATAATATTACGAATAATCATCGCATGTGATATTGAAAATTCGATAAACTTACTACTACTGTCACTGTCATGTTTATGAATTATTTTACTACTTAGTTTATGAACTTGTGCATTATATACCGATAAAAATAGCATTTTCGACTCAAGACACAAGAAAAGAAAGCTCATTTTTCTTTGTTTGTTTTTCCTATGTTGTATTTTATTACAAGCCAAGAATATCGTGCATTTAGAATAACATAACAATAATGGTGATACAGGTGACCATAATTTACGTTATTCCAATTAAATTTGGATAAAATATCTATATTAAAAGTTGTTGAAATCGAATCAGTATCTGGTTTTAAACAATATACTTTCAGAATGTGTATAAATTATATTACACGTTGTATATATTTTTATTCAGTGTTATAAGTGTTGAAAGTTCTTATATAAACTAACATTAAAAAAAGCCACTACTAGTCACCTACGGGAGGCTAATTCATAAGTCAGCGACATATGCAATAATTGACGCGGAGGGAGTTGCGGAAAACAGCTAATTTATCATATTTAAATTTACTTAGGAGTAAAAAATAATTCAAAGAATAATAAAAATGACGTCAGTGAAGTGAGTATAAACAGACAATGAGAGTAAGGGAGATAGCAAAGTAGTTATGATAACTCTTACTTGACCTAAGTGCAAGTACCTATGTGAGACAATAGCTTTTGCAGTTTTGTAATATTTTTTTAATACGTCTCTTTCAAGATTAGATAAAAAACTCTCACTAATGGTATACGAGCAGACCAAAGATTTAAAATCTTTGGTTTTAGTTTGTATTACTTTATAGTTCGGATCTGTGGATTTAGATTATGTTTTTATTAAATTCTTTAATATTGATTATTATTTTTTGTAATAGTAACAATATTTATTTATAATAAGATAGAGTTTGAGCTGGTTAGAGCATTCAGTCTGCGATGCCATTATTAAGCATCTTTCGCAAAGGCTGGTCGTAGAATGGGTGACCGATAATGTGTTATTTCCAGCTCTTTTGTGTTTCACACATTGTAACATAAACGTGAAACGTGAAAGTGAACAATCAATTAAAGCTACATACTGTTACCGCAGTAAGTCAAAAAGGAACATATGAAATGTAATCAGTCACATAGGATTTCCCCATGACGTTTGAATCCTAATTAGTAGTTGACGAATACTAACTATGACCACTGTTTGTGTCCAAACTTCGCAGCACTAAATACGACATTCAATGTTAACAGGACGTGTCAACTGCAAAACGTGTGGTAATTACGAATATATTGTGTCCAAGCAAGCAGCTACAGTTGGTACGCAAACAACATCACTGTGTATTTCAGTGCAACGTGAAAGGGTTATTTATTATTCAAGCGAAAAGAGAATAGAATTCATTTATTTTGACACACACACGTCACGTACACGATATTCAATTTAAAATAGACATGAAAAAGAAAAAGGCATAAAAAATACAACCAACCAAAATACCATGGTGTGCGTTGTCAAAGCTGACCTCAGCTAAGTACAAGCAGTAAGCAGAGCCTACTGCACTGTTATAAGTATAATGACTAATTTTTGTTTATTTTCCAATCAGGTAGATTGTTGAAAAATATTAAACACGTATATTTTTTTCGTAATCATTAAAGTACGGCGATGCATTGACCTAAATGGTCACATGACGTCACGCTTTTATACATTTTATACAAAACCGTGACGTAGCGAGCCCAAACTCTTCAACTGCACGCGTAGCATGACGAACTCGAGAACGTTTTGTCTACACTCAAATGTCACTTTTCTCGGGTGCGCATGCTACACGTGCTATCTCAGTTAGTTCTTGTTAAAGCGAAATAAAAACATATACGTGTCTAATATTTTTCTAATATCTGACTAACGTACTAAATAGTACTAAATATCTGAGGCCAAAACGATTATTATTAATGAATATACAATACTTTTAATGTAGCTCAATCTAAATATAATAGCGGATATATCGATAAAAATAATTAGTTAATTTATACACACTACATAATATTACACTACAAAAACGTTTAGTACTAAGTGTGTTCAAATTTGTAGCAGAATAGTCAATAAACAAAACACAGTGATCTTAGTAAAAACTTATTTTAACTGGCTCCTCAATTAAGATGCAGCAGTGTATTACTGGTGCATGTGCCGTTATTTGCAACAAATAATTTGTATAAATTAGTATCAAAGACATTGCATGTGCAAAAATTAAAAAGTTTCACAACGGAGTTCTTCTTTATTCAAGCAACCAATTTATAATAAATCGTAATTTAAACAGTCATATACATATATGGTATAGGTACTTAGAAAACAAAAAACACAGAGCGATTATATTAGATAGTTCTTGACATTCATATAACTCCGCATATATTTCACTACAAATTTCAGAATTAAACCAACTAAATTATTTAATTCTATTCTACTAAATAAAAGGGTAATTTTAATTTCAAATCTGAAGTGGCTCCTCGATCCAAACGGACATCATAAATAAGATGATGGTGATGAACGAACGCAGATACAACCAAGATAAAAAACGTGCATTCCGAAGCACGAAGGACTCGAGTAAGATCAACCATTGCGAAAGACAAGGCTCACAATCGTAGACAGAACTCATAAATCATGATTTAACAAAAGTTCCTGAGAACCATCACACGACAAGCAACAGGTACTTAAAGGGGTATTAATGGTACTTTCGCTTAATTTAAATTTAGCTAAATTCCATAAGCACAGAGTCCCTACTTTAAACACGAATCTAACAAAGGGTAAACCTCCAACCGATTATTTAATCATCCGCTGACGTATTACTAAAATATCTGGAATAGGAAATATGCATCTAGCTAAAAGGGATTAAAATATATTAGGGGTGTCTGGCTGTTACGATATAATATTATATATAAATATATTATAATGTTTTACTATCTACTAACAATAAAAAAAAAGAAATATTAAGGAAATAAAACCAAAGAACGCTTCCTGTCTATATTGCTCCCGAAATTTACGTTTTACCAGGATATTTTTTCTCAAAGATATAATACTCGTAAATTAGTTCCTAGATTATCCTTGGCCATGGACCTCTCAAATTTTATTGCGTAATAAATAGCCTTAATAAAAACTTCAAATTGATTATTAAACTGCTACAGAAATTCGACTGTCACTTCAATAAGGATTATTAACACCTAATATATCTTTAGTGGAACATCGATCGTTATATATAAAGGTGTAGAGGTAGCAGCTGGCCAAACTGAAGTTAACAATAAGGAAAACTATTAAAGACCGCCCCCACACATTCACTATGGTTACACATATCAGGAATTCCGGAAACTTAGCCTACGGGCTCAGAATCTTAAGGCATGTGTTAATATAGCATTCTCGAAATGAAATTCAGGATATTTGAAAACATTGCTCCAAACATGAAAGGGATAGAGAATGGGAATGACAATTTTAATGTATTAAATAGAAGCAGGCCATTACATTGTACTGTACTTCCACGTTATTTAGCATGTTTTACACTCAATTGATAAAAATCCTTTACATTGAACGCATATCATATTGTATCGCACCCTCGGTGCGACACTGTCACTTTTGCAAAAAAATACAAAAATTAGTTAAATATGTAATAATTGTCCTAAAGTACCCCTTTACTTGGTGCGATAATGTTACTTTTGTAGTACGCATAGTTTCCATATGATTTATCTCATCTATATCTTCTAAAGTCATTGTTTTGTGAGGTGTCACAGTTTAAACTCTTCTCCTGAAAAACTAAATTTTTGCATAAGTGAATGTCGCACCGGGAGTGCGGTATGGTATATACATAATCTTGCCATAAATATTGTTACATAGATTTTTATTTTATTGAACGTAATATTTATTAGTGCTACAGTGTCTTAATTTAATACATTTAAATAAAGCAATTAAGCTTATTCAAAGTCTTCATTACGGGCATTACAGAC